AAGCTTCACTGATTTCCACCACCAAGCTTCCATACAGTCCCACCATATCCAACCTCGACAATCGACAACTTTCTAGCCCACGATCATACAATGAGCAGAAACAAAGATACAGTTCACGCCGATGCGCGTCGTTTCCTCGATGAGCGTGGCTCCAACGTATCGGTCGCGCCAAACGGCCTCAATCCCGCGACTATTATGGAAAAAGCCGTCAAGGACCGCATCGTCGACTCATACTTTTACAAAGAGCAATGCTTTGCGCTCAACGAAGCGGATATTGTAGATCGCGTCGTCGAGCATGTCAATTTCATTGGTGGAACGTACGGCGTCACACAAAAGCCCAGTCCATTCTTGTGTCTTGCTTTCAAGCTACTTGAACTTTCGCCCAGCGATGCAGTGCTCATGGAATACCTGAAATATGGCGGAGAGGCTTTCAAATACCTGCGAGCGCTTGCGTGCTTCTACTTTCGACTCACAAGACAAGCGAAGGATGTGTACGAGATGCTGGAGCCATTCCTCGAGGATAGGCGCAAACTTCGACGGAGAGGAAGGGCGGGCGTGGTGTTGACATTCATGGACGAATTTGTGGACGAGCTGTTGACAAAGGAGCGAGTATGCGGTACAAGTCTTTGGAAGATGCCAAAGCGAGAGGTTTTGGAAGATCTGGAAATTCTCGAGCCAAGGGTCAGTCCCCTGGGTGACCTTGAGGATCTTCTCGAGGAAGAGGACGAAGCAGAGAAAGATAATGGGACAAGAGAAGAATCTGGAGAGATTTCCGATAGAGGCGATATGGAAGTCGATCACGATGAGGCGAGAAGTCAGAGTCGAAGCCGCAGTCGAAGTCAAAGTCAAAGTAACAGCCGAAGTCGCTCACCTTGATCAGATGGACTGTCTCTGCACAGTACCCAAAAGAGTTGACCCGTAAAACACCATAATTCATCACTGAACGCCAGACCGCGTGGTTCTACTCTCCCGCCGCTTCAAGAGATTATGGGAAGTACCACTGCGGCAAGCGAAGGACAAAGCTTCTGTCTGGTTCATCGATACGTCATGCGTAGCTCGATACATGGGCATTGCCTCATCTACGACAGCATCTACAGGTGTTGGATGTCTACATCAACGACACAAGACGAAAGAGATCGTATCATGTTAAGCTGATAGGGTGACACTCAGAGTCGAGAATGCCAGAGCTAAGGCTTTGCATGCTTATCAGAAGCTTCGCATATTTGTTATACAGGGCACTTGGGTCACTCAACCTGGACCGCGGCAAACATACAACTAGCCGGATACGCATCCATGATCCCCATCCGATGCAAACAGAAAATTTGATAGCGGACACGCGAACCACCCAGACATGCTCAAGATACTGCTGTCATCTAATTGTTCTATTGTACAAGAATATCATAAAAGTCATCGCTTGTAATATATCTACAGTCATGCCACCAGTGATTTTAACCTTTCTGCCAGTTGAAGCACCCTCTGGTCGTCCCAGTATTGTCCAATGACCTGCAACCCTGCTGGAAACTGACTTCCCTCCACCTTAGCTGGGACACTCACAGCTGGCAAACCTGCCAAACTTGCCGGAACCGTAAAGACGTCGTTCATGTAAACGTCTACACTGCTCTGCTGCTTGAGATCTTCCAGTCTTGGGGGAAATGTTGGCGCTGTAGGAGAGAGGATGAAGTCCACTTGAACAGGGCCGGTTTTGTCCTCCATTCCGGTGGCCTCAGCCATGTCACTTAAGTCAAACTGTGCAGGCTCATAAAGGGGGTTGTCAAGTCGGAATACGCGATCAAAATCCTTCTGCACCATCCGCCGAATCTTTTGGGCTTGTATGAAGTAATTGTCTATTGCCTCAGAACTGAGGCTGTATGTGCCGAGGAGGATTCGTCGCTTGACCTCTTCACCGAAGCCCTCACCACGGGTATCAGAGTAGAGAGTCTCACCCACTGCATCGCTACCTTCACCACGCTTTCCGTAGCGAACACCGTCATACTTGGCGAGATTCGAGGATGCTTCCGCAGGAGCGAGGACATAGTAAGCACACAGGGCTTCTTTTGTGGAAGGAAGAGAGATGGGAACTAGAGTTGCGCCCTGAGCCTCGAGGGCAGAGGCAGCAGAAACCCAAGCGGCGCGGATAGAAGGGTCAAGCTCGTCAATATTGTATTCAAGAGGAATGCCGATATTTAGTCTTGATAGCTCAGGAAGGGTGGATGGTATTGTTGAAGCACATCGGTTTCGGGATGCGGCGGGTAGTGATGTTGGATCCGAAGAGTCATGTTCGTTGTGCATGCCAGTCTCGAAGATGAGGTAATGTATCGGCTTGACATCCTTAGATAAGAAGCCGACTGTATCCAGGGAGTTTGCGTACGGAACCACGCCAAACCGAGAAATCATGCCATAACTAGGCTTGTAGCCAACTGTTCCAGTATATGCCGCAGGCAGTCGAATTGAGCCACCTGTGTCTGTTCCTAGGGCGATATCGGCATCGCCTAGTCGTACTGCAACGGCGCTTCCACCTGAGCTTCCGCCGGCTGACACTTCGTCATCCTTGGCCAGGGGGTTCCTCACTGCGCCATTCACTGAGTTTGTCGAATGGGAGCCCATACCGAATTCATCCATGTTGGTCTTTCCAACCACCGTTGCTCCGCGTTTGCGCAGTTGACGAACCACAGTAGCTTCGAAGGGTGAGGAGTGAGAAGAGAGAATGGCTGAGGCGCATTGTGTTGGGAAGTCAGAGGTTGCAATATTATCCTTGATAGCCAGAGTAAAAGGCTTCACTTCCTTACACATAAAAGGAAGGAAATCAGCATTCGGGTCTGTGGAGGCAAGCTTGGCTGTATTTGTTAGTTGAGTTCGTTTACGAAGATGAGAGTTGCTCACTGGGACCAACAAAGTGGTTGTAGTTACTATGAGAACGCCATTGTATTGCAGGTTGTACACAAACTCTCGGACAAGACTTGATGTGAAATGGAGATGATTTATGGGCTAATTGTAGCACACGAGACGCGCTCATGGTGGACTGATTATCAACATGAGAAATCGTTATACTCAATGTGTTAATTGAGGGTCATGCTCAAAAAAGCGGGATGAGCTGCAGCTTTCTGGCTTATCGATAAGACCCATGCAACTCATCTTTCAAGGGTCCGATCCCATCCTCCTAGGTAATTTCTCCAAGCTCGAACAAGCATCAGCACCATATTAAAATGGCAGCCAAACGAGATCTCGAGGACACCGATGACGGCGAAGTATTAGCCCCCCAACCAAAGCGACCAAAGAAACAAGGCGGCAAAACGCGACAACACCAAAACTCTGGCATCGACCCAACCTGGGGCCAGAAGTATGTCTTCGCAGGAAACGGCAATACAACCACGATCCCGGAGGGAGAAGAGGACGATTTCGAAGATGATTCAGAAGCGATGGCATATTTAAACTCTGTCAGGTATGTTATCCTCTGAAGCGTGTTTGTCGACTTTGCTGAAGATCGCAAAACTGTAGAGCACGGATGCTGATATGGTGAGTATTATAGACAAGAAGCGAACGGGATCCCCCATCTCCTCGTCGCGCCAAAAGTTCAAATAGGACCCCAGCTACCCCCCGAGCTTCGAAACGACGATCAAGAACAAGACGAGCAACCTATCGACAGGAGTGTATACAATAATGGTGTCGGTGATTCTTGGGGCTGGTATGAAGACGGCGCATATATGGCAATGCCCGACAACGCGGCTGAAGACGACGGTTACGAAGGCGGCGAATACCCGGATGACTACGAAGATGAAAGCTACGAAGAAGCCGCCCTGAATGAAGCTTACTTTGCATCGGTTATGGACCAATACCTCCGCTTACGGTCGATCCTTCACGCCGATCTTCCCTCCAACGCCGTCTCACGTGTCGTCAAAGCCCGACTCAAAACTGATGCACCTGCGGAGAATCAATCCGCGGCGATAGCCACATGGTCACGACTCCTTCGCGAAACCGACCCCCACCCACTTCAAGTCGCCCTTATGTCTAAAGACACTACACTACGCATTCTGCGCATTCTTCTTGGCGGTAAATTCCTTCGTCAAGGGTACACACTTCCAGAACGCACAAGCCGTTGGATCTGGGCACTGCTTGCTAGAATGCCGGACAAGGGCGAGCTTAACTACGCCGAAATTGGCTGGATTCGTGACCTTGGCCGCAGAGCAGTCCTCTTAGGTCGGAGCCTAGCAGAGATGGCGGCTCTAAGGGAGGAGCTAGCAGAGGGTGGACTAGGGGCCCATGAAGCAGTTGATGGAAGCAGTAGTGATGAAGAAGTTCTAGCAGACCCAGAGGATATGGAGGTCGAAGGTGCTCTCAGCTCTGGGCAGGATGAGGACGAGCCAAAACCAGCTGGGTCCAGAAACGAGGCCGAGAAGACACCCAAAGGCACGGAACCCACAGCAAAATCTCCCCCAAGGCCTGATGCTGAAGAAGGTGAGATAGAAGACGAAGACGAAGACGAAGACGAAGATGTGGCTATGGAGATCGCGACCGACTCAGAAGCCGAAGAAGGTGAAGTTGCTGCCCAGGAGCCCCAGGAGAACCTCGAGGCAGTAAGAGAACGACTACTCGCTCGGATCAGTAACGGAATGACCTCAGAAGATGAGGAGGATCTTGAAAAGGAGAGTGCCAAACAGCGACTGCGAGCAAATTTACGTGCAACTCTCAACATGATCTTGACGATAGCCGGTGAGTTTTACGGACAACGAGATCTGCTAGAATTCCGAGAGCCATTCGTTGGTATGTAATTTGTTGGACAAGGATATAATTGTAGGTCTTGTAACGACCGGTTTGTCTTATTTGCATACAGCATACAGCGAGTCCCGGTGCACTTTTGCCTTCCAATAACATACAACCGCTCTGAAGCATTAATAAACCATAATCCTGAACGCCCGACCCAAAGCTTGTGACGCCGTAACATAGCTTCTAGTGAACATGAAAACATACAAAGCTCTGCTTGAGCCAGTGAACGACACTGTGACTTAGTTGGCCATATCCATCTCGGGATTGACGAGGAAATCAGCCTCATCAAAGTCAGATCCCGAGTTGCGGTTGTCCTGACCAAAGCTCCTTAAACCGGCACCCTTTCGTGAAACTGGGATAGCCATGACTCGAGGATTTCCATGGTTGCCCATGTCAAAGCTCGAGTCAAGCTCATCGTCATCCTCGTCGAAAATTCGCTTTCGAGAACCGTCGTGCGACTCGCCCTCCGCACTCTCTTGCGACATGGTGAGTTCGGGGAGAGCGTCGAGGTCTGGTACATCATCCTCGAATTCTGGCTGGGTGTCAAGACCGCCGACCTTGTTGATTCCGCAGAAGGGGAGAAGCTCTCGGGAAACGCCTTTGCCGGGTGCCTTTGCAGTGGCTGTAGAAACATGTACAGGCGCATTATCTGTCCAGAGCTTGAAAGCACTGGTGCCCTTTGTCTTGTAGCCTTCGGGGACGGACTTGCGAACTCGCATACCGACACTGAGAAGGTTGGCCTGAACGTTTGAAGGAAGAGTAGGTTGCATGGGCTTGTCGGCCTCAGCAATCGCAGGTTCATCGGATGATCGGGCATTGAAGAAGGAAGTAATTTGGCGTTGAGATGGGTCGGCAGAGGCGCCGGCGAATTGACGCTTGATACGAGGAGTAGACATGATGACAGATCTAGAGCAAGTTGGAGTGAAGTTGTAGTGTTGATGATTGATCCAAAAAGAATCGTCAATAGGTGTTACGCTGACGGAATGATGTTGCGGTTAGGATCGCAGTAAGCAACGAAAGACAAGAAAGTCAAGTACAGAAACAGAGTTCAAGAGTGGTAGAGTGGGGAGTTTGTCAATGGACAGAATTGAAGAGAGGCAAGGTCTTGTAAGAACGCAGATGACGTCGCAATCGAGGGGAGAAAACAAGGGTTCAAAAGGAGAACAGAGCGAAGAGGGGGCTTCTGCGTGAAACAAGTCGAGGGCCAATATTGGCTTGTTGCTGGGGTGAGGAAAGGAACAGGGTCAAAGAAAGTGAAGCGCCCCTGTCTTGCCCCAAGACGACGGCGATCCCCAAAGCGGCCTTGACAGTCCAATCATCTAACAGTAATTTCTCACTGTGGGACCCGGACTCCCGCGTTTTGACGCGATCTTGTCGTGCCGCTTTCGCGTAAATTGATAATTGGGGATTTGGGTATTGGTCCGCTGAGTCATCTGACAGAGCACCTTTATGTGATCAGCCTCACTGTGTATAGAGAAAAGAGACGGAAATATCGTTAAATGCTATGTAGACGTATGCAATTCAGTATTTATATACAGATTAAGTTTTGGTTTTATTTATATAGGCATCATACTAGGTCAATATGGAAGACTAAATATCTAAGAAGGTATTCTATCAGAATGGTAGAATGGCTTGATCTTGCACTTTTCACCCCAAAGATCAGCAAGGGTACATATGGAGGCAAGGCGGTGGCAAACCAACACCTGAAGGCAAGCTGGCAAGTTCTAGCAATTTCAGGATTGACAACGCCGAACTTGAAGTGCTTTAATATAGGTACTTGTAATCTGTAGTTGAAGCTCCACTTCGAATTTGCCATCCATGGTGAGCCTAAGGCCAGATGAAAGACTTACCAACTCGGGTATATCGTCACACGAGGTTGTCGCATGAGTAATACAAGATCATCCATTGTGTCAATGTACTAGTATCTTTTCACGCTGAAGAATTTCACGGGCTAAGTTCGGGTTTTATCATGAAATGGAGCTGAAACTATGAGGAAAGCAAAATCTGTTTGATAGTGGATGTTCTGAGGTTCAGATCTTCACGAGTCTCATTCCATCCAATGATCATCAACTATGACTCGAACTACATTGCATTGAGCTTAAGGCGAAATACCTTCAAACATCATTTCGCGGGGTAATTGGTTCCCCAGGTTCTCATGAAAATTAGTTAACATTAAATTGCTTAGTTGAGTTGCCTTAGGCTTTCGTGGGCGGCAGAGCGGATGAGCCTCTCCGGGTCGAGTCATTCGGTGAGTCGACGACCAGGCAAACTGTGAGGAGGGGTCTAGGCTACTGTCGATGACGCTGTATACCACCAATCATCATCAAGTAGATTCAACTCAACAGCGATAGCTCTGATGAGGAGTATGGTTGGCAAAGATTAACCAGAGATAGAAAAGTCATAGCATCATAGCACTTCATCAATAGTAGTGTGCTCTACGACAGGCACTATAGCATCACAACTCAATCGCATCGACTAGAAACATTCACGTCAACAAGAAGGTGATGTGGAAACCATTGTGAATTTCGCAAAAGCACAGTGACCATCCTCCGCTACCCACTGCACCCGGGTATGAAGCGATCATCAACCAGCGGTTCCACGTCCTCGTGTCCAGCTAGCCTAGCCAGGCCAGTCCGGACACTCGTGAAGGCTTTCTCCAGCTTTCCACCCATGCAGTGCTTTTTTTTCCTTCCTGCCTCGAGAAGACTCTTTAGTACAAGGCGCGCAACGGAAAAACAAAAAGAAGAATGATGTGCCATGCAAGATATCCGGAGACCCCAAACGCCCCTATTCTGGGTGCCCCATCTTCTATCTGCAAATAGGTTTTTGGTAGATGTTCGCAACGTCGGTTTGTTCTATCCGTCCATGTCGAGGTTGTGTTTTTGCAGATCCGAGATGACCACCATGAGTTGAACCGTAAGAGTCATGAGTACCCAAGGAGATAAAACCGCCGCGAAGCAGTTTACTTCCGTCGGAAAGAGCAGCCCTCGGTCAATCTAGCCTTACCACCGGTAGGCTGGCAGAGGACAGTAGTGCATCCCTGGCAGATGACGACGGTCTGGGCGTGAGAGAAGACGGTGGTGATGGTGAAACATCCGGGGCACTTGACGTCCATGAAGAAGGATCGAGGGGCGGGCACGAGGGTCTAGTATTGTCAGAGTTTTGTCGTTATTTAAATTTGTCGATGCATCGTACCTTGAGCTTGTGCTTCTTGGCCTCGGCGGCCGGGGAAGGGTTCAGAAGATCAACGGCGAGAACCTGAAAAGGCGGAGAGTCAGCCAGCTTGTCCCATCATCTTGCGTACGTCCTTTGCGTGTCCAATCCATAATCCATTGTGCCATCGACGTCGTGGTCGATCAAATTGATACTTTTGCCACGGGCAGCAAGATCTTTTCGAGGTCGATGCTTCCCACGTCCTTCACACGCGTGGCTGTCGTCCATCCATCTCCCATCGTAGGTCCATCGTAAAATGCGTCAGAAAAAGGCAGTCGCTTACCATCTTGTCTGATTTTCTCGAAAAAGTCTTGTCGGTTTCTTGCGAGAATGGGAAAGCTTGACGAAATCCGGGATCAGATTTGAGGCTCGCAAGGTGGGTGGGAAGGAGGTAAGCGAGGAAAAGTTCGGTGGCTCTGAGGGGGACGACTGCTTCTTGCCTCTGGGCGGATTCCGCTGCCTAATCGGGTAAGCGCAATAGGGTTGTAACTTCCTCACACGTGATGAAAAAAAAAATCGGGCGGTAAAATTGTGGACTTGTAGGGTAGCTCGGTGTAACATAGAGCCGTACGGAGCTTGTGCAGGTGAGATATGCTTGGAGGGGTTTATGCGAGTTATGCATCGAGAGCTTTGCTAGCTGCCTGTATCTGTACGTAAGCCAGTCGGTGATTAGGAGGAGCCTGAAGTTGAGTTGCGTCAGTCGGTCGGAGGCTGCCACTTTTAGACAATACAAATTGTACTGAGGAGACTTTGGAGAGTTGCTTCTATTTCTTCAGTCTCTCAAAATGTCTAATCCATTAGAACAACGCATCAATGTTCCTATTGACGACCCAAATGCAGACACAGAATGGTAATTCTCTGCTACCCCTCCATACTCATGAGCTAGCTCAAACCCTGCCATAGGAATGATATTCTTCGAAAACATGGAGTTATTCCTGAGAAGCCACCCAGCCCGACTCCTATGATTGAGGAGGCTATCCTTGAAGGTCGAAGATTGGCACATGAGAATCGCTTGGAAGGCAAAGACCTTGACGAATTGGACGAACTTGAAGACGACGAAGATGAAGCTTTCTTGGAGCAATATCGCCAAAAGCGCATGGCCGAGTTGAACAGCCTACAAAAGAAGGCTCTGCATGGAAGCGTATATCCTCTATCTAAACCCGAGTATCAGCGCGAAGTCACCGACGCATCACAAAATGGACCAGTTTTTGTCAACATGACCTCTTCAATGGGCAACAATGTTGAGTCGCGGGTCTTGACTGAGCTGTGGAGACAAGCTGCGGGGGAGTACGGCGAGATCAAGTTCTGTGAGATCCGAGCGAGTCAAGCCATTGAGAACTATCCCGATCGAAACTGCCCAACAATCTTGGTATATAACAAGGGGGATATTGTGAAGCAGATTGTAACATTGGCAACAATTGGAGGCGTCCGAACAACTATGCAACAGATTGACAACCTCTTGGTCGAAGTTGGTGCTGTACCTGATTCTGACATGCGTATTGTCAAGAGAAGGCAAGCTGCCGAGGATGCTGAGGAGGAGAGATTGGCTGGGAAAGCTATCAAGACGGGAACGGCTGGAAGGTCACGGAACGTTGACAGTGAGGATGATGACTGGGATTAAACGCGCTACGAAAGAAATTCGTGGCTTTGGTCGAAGTGACCATTGGATTGGCCAGCGTCAGACATTTTGCAAATCTCCATGTCCTAACGCAAAGCCGTAACGGATGTTGCTCTAGTTCTTGTCAGATGTGATAGAAGACCTATGCGGCCGGCCCTGAGTCATGACGACTCTTTCGAGAAAGATCGGGTTTTCACTCTACAATATTTTCAGAGCCTCAAAAAAACCACTTGCTCAACCAGGCTCAAGACAGGAAAGGGAACTGCATATTCCTGCGAGGGACAGTTTCGTACATTATCCGTCCTTGCTTTACGACAAGTTCAAGACGGGGCGTTGATCAACAATTGGGAACCAAGAGGCCCCGTGGCCATGTATGCGCATAGTACATGCGCATAACAAAATACACATGACTCCTAAGCATTCTATCACCGCGTGCTGTGGGCAGTGCGATGATATGATCGCTGAGGCTGCTAGCGTATGATCTTCCTGTAAAATAAAACCTCCAGAAACTGCTGTACTTGTAATTGGGATGTTCCCAAGGGAGGTTTGAAAACTCGTTGTATCAGTAGGGTCTTACGGCATATGCTTATCATATCAAGAATCTGTTGTAATACTGAGCCACATTCCCAAGATGCACAACGTAACCCTTGCAGGCCAAGAGATAACAAAGATCAAAGCTTGCTTGTCTTGCTGATCAAGGTTGCCGGGATTACTAGGCGGCGTCGCATGCATGCACTTGAAAGAGACAGGGGACAGGTTGTGATCTGACCAAGGGGGTAAGTGACCAAGTCCACGAGTAGTGACACAACCCAGCCTTAGCGATTCTCCTGTATGTAAGCATCAGCAAAGTTAGCATGCGTGCAAGGCAGGTCTGTATGTTTGCGAAAAGACAGTGCAAGGTATCATTAAAACCCTCTTCAATCTGTTACTCCTTCGAACGCCATTTATCCAAATATGCTTGCTAGCTTTCCTCATTTGTCACTGTGACAAGATTTCCGCTCGGCAGCCCCCAGCTGCTCTTATCAATGTCTCCTGGGCGGCATCGCCATGAGCATCCCCGATTAACGAATGGTATCGCCCTCTCGCCTTCTGCCATACTCAACGGTGTCATCCGTACAAGGGCTGGGCTATCGTGGCTAGCCCTGTTACAAGCCCGAACTTCTCGCCATTCAACCCACTTGGTGGTGGGAATGACCATCAATTTTCGACAGCGTGAGCACGACAATCCGCCAGCCTCTTTCTGCCTTTGCGCTCGCTCCAGGAGTTTCCTGAGATGGTTGAGCCCTTCAGGGATGTAGTACGGCATCTCTGAAAGCTGAGTGCTGGAGTAGCAAGCTCGAAGAGCTGTCTCAAGAAGACTAGGCACACGGCTTGCACCTTCGAGGCGTTGTGACTCTGTCATGGATGACACTGAGGACGATGGGCAAAACTCGGGCTCTCCTTCATCAATGGGCAGAATGAGTTTTGTATGGTCTGTTGGGAACTTGAAGTCTGAAAGAATTCTTCCCGTACTGTCTGAGAGCTGTAGAGGACTTCGACCTAGTGCACGACTCACTAAACGTGGCGTCGGCGAGGCTCCCGCCTCGGCCTGGAAGAAGAGTGTGCTGCTCAGCTGAGAATCTGTCGATTCTAAGCTCTCATTTGGTTGCCAAAATGGATTAGGATGTACAACAAGTTTGTCAAGTTTGCTATCTGGTGCGAAAAGCTCCAGCAACTCCACGGGCAAATGCCGTAAACGATTATGTGATACGTTGAGTTCCTTCAGATGGTGGAGTTTCGCAACAGCGGGGGGGAGTTCGGTGAGCTTGTTATGGCGGAGGCTCAGGATTGTGAGATGCGTTAGATCGAAGATGGCACCAGGAACACGAGTCAACCGGTTCTGGGCCATATAGATCTTAAGCTCGGGATCCTTCTGCTCGAAGGCAACATCCTTGGTCACGACAGGAATGCAGGTAAACTGCGACAAAGGACTAATTGTATCATTTGAGACATCTTCCAGTCCCAATGACCAAAAGTCAATTGTCTCCTCGCCCGCGTCAAGGCAGGCACGGACTCTGTCACGCGCAACTTGTTCAGCTCTTGAGACGCGGCGCACGACGCGATCAAGTTGCGGAAGTCTGGGTTTTGGAACTTCGGGTACTGTTTCTAGTACATCGCTCTCATTACCATCACTGCCGAGGAAGACACCACTGTCTGCCTGTCGCGTCCACTGCCGCCTCTGCTTGGGGACGTGAAGCTCACTGAAGGTTGAGTCGGAAGAGGTGGGATGTTGCTGGAACCATGAACCAATGTACCTCTTCTTTCGTCTCCCCTCTACGTAATTATCCAATGCTGGGTCATCGTCACTGGAGAATATGGCGGGATCACTTGAATTGTTGAAAGTTGAGGATGGCGCGTGCTTTGGAGCGGCATTGCGGACGCGTTTCCGAGGATTGTTGCTGAAGGTTTGCGATTGCTCATCCCACGACACAGCCGGGAGAACAGGTAGAGATAATTCTTCCGACGACATTGGCGACAAACAAAGATGATGTTCTTCAAACTGATGTTACTCGAAAACACATGAAAAAAGACTTGAAGTGGTGCAAGAACTGAGACCTGGCTTGTCCAACGCGACTCGACTTGACGTTGGATGCAGAGTGACGATAGAGACCTAATGGAATACAGGGTTCAATTGCCCCCACTGACGCACTGAACCTGCCATGAACCTTTCCGTTACTGGGTGCGCACGTGCCATTGCCAGCCACTCGGCCCCTAGCGAGCCGGCGGTTTCAGGGTCCTCACGAAGATTCTATCAGTGAACACGATGGATAGACCCATTGATAAGATGATCAGATAACGGCAAACTCACAAGTGTGTCCTCACTTACTTTTCTTCTTCTCATCGATTTCGTCTAACATTCGTTGAGAAGCCATTCTATTGAATTAGATATGATCCTGGTAGGACCATCGCGGCAGTATTCTACTATGACTCCTTTCTTGCGACCAAAAGGAATTAGAGACGAACTTCCACACAGCAAGGCCACTTAAATAACCACAATGAAATCTCCAACACGGAGTACGATTGAACTCTTTGGAGTTCTTATTAAAATCCCTGAGGCATAGTGACCACATATAAATGCCTGCTCGAAAATCCGGTCAGCAATGCTGAATGAATAGATAAGGCTACAAACTCATACTGCTATTATATTACACCAGATATCTATGCTAGCTATGCACTCGATTTGCAAGACGATTGCCTCATTTACTTGCCATTCACTGACTTTCTTTGTTAATTGGTCGACCTCCAACAGGACGAATCATCAGAGGAACTATGACATCCGAAGGACCGCCCCAGCTCGAAAAGTCAGACGTATGGCGATCAACTTCCTCGAAGCCAAATTTCTCATAAAGCTTTCGTCCTTGAACTGAAGATTCTAAACATGCCGGAACGCCCAGACGATCAGCTTCCGCAAGGCCCGAATTGAGCAATAGGGAGGCTGCTCCACGTCTGTGGTGCTTCGGGTCTGTATGCAGGAGTTTCAGATCTGAGGGTTTTGGCTAGTCAGAGAACACATCTAATGAGATCCAATGTTGAGACATACAAACATATGGCTTTCCTTTCATGTAATTCACCCTCATGTTGTCCATGCCTCCGAAGAAGAGTTCGCAGGCTTCCGCATTACAGCTCGGTCCACGATAAGAGGGGAAAGAATGTTGCTCCTCTGTTGGTGGAGTCTCCCAGATATACCACATAGCAAAGGCAATCATCTGGTCTTCCTCTTTCTCTATATCAGTATCGATGACTTTGGCCCATCGGCAGGCCGCATCCTTCCGGCGAGAGGCAATGAGATCCACAACTCTTGTGGAGGACTCAGAAGTTCTGCCTCCTGGAAACAACACTGCGCCTACTGGACTCGGGCCATAGGCAACAGTCTCAATGGCCACAGCTCTATGGGCATCGGTTTCGGTAGCTGGCAAGACTTTGAGAGGCATGGTGCACGCTTGGCGATGGAGGGAAAATCCACATTATTAGGCACAAGACACTACTACCTTAAATAAATGCCGGCTCCTTCGTATACTACATTTGCATGGGTTTACGACTTCACATTAATCCTCGGCGAGCCTGAATAGGCATGTCGCTGAGCTCCTGTTCCGCTGTCGGCTGGGACGGGATCTGGGGTTTAGTGGGGCAATACTGACGAAATCCTGGGTAAGAAAACGAAGAGTACCTCCAACAAATAGCTCCAGAATCGCAAAAAAAGAAGAGACAAACTCTTAAAAAATGATCTTAGCTGAGAGCTTGTTCTGAGTCCAGCTTTGGACTGCACCCTCTTTGCTTCATCTTCAGGCAGGAGTGATTAATGGCTGGTCAAGTGGAAACTTCGAGCTGCCGCGGCCGGTTTAAACCGTTATCGATAATCGGATAATCCAACAGCCGCCACCGAAAAATTCACTCGTTGCGCGATTCAAGGCCCGGTTGGCCGCAACCTTTTACGGCGACCTCACATTTTTCAATACCAAAACCTCGCCGTCATCAGCCTCGTCCTCGAACCCTCGCCCTCCCCCACCATTACAACTTTAATACACATAATCAGCCATGGATCACGGACGAGACCCCTGCCCTTGGGTCATTCTTAATGACTTTGGTGGTGCTTTTTGCATGGGCGTAAGTTTAGCCCTACGTGCTGTGGACGATCGATTACAGCGACAATTGCGATGACCGTAAACCGGGACGCAGCTAACATTTGCCTTGCTAGGCTATTGGCGGTACCATCTGGCACGGAATTAAGGGCTTCCGCAACTCCCCCTATGGCGAGCGACGTATTGGCGCCATCACAGCCATCAAGATGCGCGCCCCGGTTCTCGGTGGTAACTTTGGTGTCTGGGGTGGCCTCTTCTCAACGTTCGACTGCGCTGTGAAAGGTGTTCGCCAGAAGGAGGATCCTTACAACGCTATCATTGCTGGTTTCTTCACTGGTGGTTCTCTCGCTATCCGAGGTGGCTACAAGGCCGCCCGAAACGGTG